TGTGGAAAGTCCAAGGTCCTCCCCCCTCCGTCCATGCCTAGGAAGGTGAACATCCAAACTGGCTAGGCTCCCACAAAGCCAGAACATGAAGTAGGATCAAAACCCCATGCCATTGTCCTTGGCTTCTCATCAGCCCTCATTGTTCGCCATGTTCAGAGAGTCCGGTTTTATCCCATGCTTTTTCAGTCACAGTCCAACTGGCCTTGGTGAGCTCCCACTAGATCAGCCCCACTGTCTCAGTGGGTGGGTGCACCCCCCGTGGTCCTGACATCCTTGCTCATGTTCTCCCTCCTTCTGCTCTTCATTGGGACCTTGGGAGCTCAGTCCAGTGCTCCGGTGTGGGTCTCTGTCTCTATCTCCATCCATCCCCAGATGAAGGTTCTATGGTGATATGTAAGATATTCGTCAGTATTGTTATAGGATAGGGTCATTTCAGGTTCCCTGTCCTCAAGTGCCCAAGGAACTAACTGGGGACATCGCCTTGGGCTCCTGGGAGCCACTCTAGGTCCAAGTCTCTTGCCAACCCCAAGGTGGCTCCCTTAACTAAGAATTGTGCTTCCTTGCTCCCCTATCCAACCTTCCTTTATCCCAATCATCCTGTTTCCCATTGATTTTTTTTTTAACTTCTCATCCCTCTACCTCTGGTCAATTTACCTTCCTTGGGCATCAGTTTTTCCAGAATATAGTCCCTCTTCATTCACAGTACCTTTGGATAAAAGTGAAGACCCCTGTGTTGTCTGTCCTCGACACTGGGGCACAGATGAGCGGAGTGCTAAGCCCTGGCACAGTGGCTGAGATGATAGATACTTTCTGTTCATCCCAAGGATCACTCCACGCCCTCTGTTGCTGTAGTTTGCACCTGGATGTGGTTTGGGAACATCTTCCTGTCATTTCCTATAAGAGGTGTCACTGGTGATTAGGACACATGCCATGAAGCATGATGTCCTCGAGATAAGAAAAGCTCCCTTCTGTCACTGCAGAGTTCTAATCCATGTATATAATCCTCAGTTCTTTTA